GGGCTCCGCTAGCCCATCTGACCCTCATAATAACCCCGTGTGATAGATGGCAAGTGTATGTCTCCCATTTTACAGATTGGGGGATGAAGCCCAGGAAGTGAGTTATTTGCCCAGGGTCACCTCTCTGGTCTGAGTGGAACCTGCTTTAGGGCAGGCCTTCTTTCTTTGTCCATTGTCCATTCATAGATCTGACCACCATGTGCCACAGAATGGAGGTACCCAGCTTTTGTGAGGGGGAGGCACCCATGATGGTGGCCTGGCCAGAACCTTCTACCTGTTACAACACAGGCCTCGCACGTGTGCCAACCATGCGGCCCTAGTTGGAGCTGGAAAGAGCCCTTTTTTCCACATATAGCACTGCTTTCCAATCACACAGCTCTCTCATTTAGACAGAGTTTCTGGCCTGTTGTCTATCTTTTTTGGATTGACTGCTTCTAGCAATGCTCACTCCCTTGTGTCAGAGACAAAACACAGTTCCATTCGAATCTAAGATATAGAATAACTTTCTTGTAAGTGAATCATAAAGTGGACTTTCTTTGTCAAAAATTTCTACCAGTCTTGCTGGCTCAGTGGGAGACTTAATATTCTGTGAGCAAATTTATCTGCCATGTCATAGGGGTGACTCATTGTATATGAATTCTCATCGTTGAAGTATGAATTAGAGCTAAATTTAGTTTTAGTGCAGTTTTGCTGTTTTGAAGGAAAACAGTGATGACAAAGCAGATCTTTTTTAGCTTACTGAAAGCCCTGGGCCTGATAGCATGCATTTATATAAATGATGTCTGAAAACATTCATTTATGCTAAAGAGTTAAAGAACAAAATCCAAAAAAAGAGAAGAGGAAGGGGAAGTCTTTGATTCTGCAGGGCTGTGGGGGCTGGGGAGGGTGATTTAAGCTTGGCGCAACAGACAAAAAGAAAACCCAGAACGATTTTAGCAAAAGAAACAAATCACTGTGCATTTAACAGGAAGCCAAAATTCAAGAGGAATTGGGGGAAATGTTTGCAATAGACATGACAGACTGATGTGAAAGGTGCATGAAAATATATAAGAAAAGCTCAGAACCCTAATACATGGTAGCAGATGTCCATATGTCACTCATAAAAAAGGAAACACGATTAGACAAATGCTGGAACTGCTCATTCTCACTGGCAGTCAGAGAAATGCAAGTAAAAGGGAGATCACATTTTTATTCATAAAGCGAATAACTTTTTAAAGCTGATAGACCTGGTGTTAAAGAGGCTGGAAACTGAAATTTCCTTGTCCATTGACTGGATGGCTATGAGGTAGTGCTAACTTACTGGAGATCATTTTGACAGTGGGAATTCAATACCCTTTAAAATGGTCATACTCCATGAACTAGTAATTCCACCCCTAAGACTCTAACCTAAAACAAAATAAGAGTGGAAAACCATGATGCACAAATATATTTATGGCAATATTACTCATATATAAAATATTACTTAGATGTCAGGAAATGGCTGAGAAAATCTTGGCATATCTTCTCACCGGAAAAGTATGAGGATGTAACAATATGTAAAATAGAGATTAGACAAAAAGAAAGGTGGGAAATTAGAATACATTATAACAAAAAAAAACATCCAGTATATAAAAATCAAGGAAGAGTTGAAACTTATGTCCACACGAAAACATAACATGGATGTTTATTGACAGTGTTATTCATAATGGTCCACACTTGGAAGCAACCAACATATTCTGTAGTAGGGGAATGCATAGATAAGCTGTGGTACATCCAGACAGTGTGGGAATATTCAAAACTAAAAAGAAATGAGCTATCAAGCTATGAAAAGACAGGCAGGAAACTCAAATGCATATTACTAAGTGAAAGAGGCCTTTCTGAAAAGGCTACATGGTGTATGATTGCACTATATGACATTCTGAAGAAGGCAAAACTATGGAGACAGTAAATAGATCAGTGGTTGCCAGGGGGTGCTGGGCAGCTGGAATGGATAGGTGGAGTACGGTGGGTTTTCGTGGCAGTTCAGTTATTCTGTATGACACTACAACAGCGAATATATTATATATTGGTCCAAAGGCATGGAACTCACCCAAGGTGATTACGGACTTTGGGTGCCAATGACATGTTGATGTAAGTTCATCAATTATAACAAATATCCCACCATGGCAGGGGGTTGATGATGGCAGAGGCTGTGCATGTAGTGGGGGTGTTGCGGGGGGGCGGGCAGTGGACATATGAAAAATATCTCTGTACCTTTTGCTCCATTTTGCTGTGAACCTAAAACTTGTCTTTAAAAAAAAAATGAAGTCCATTAAAAAAAATTAAACAAGAAAGAGGAAAAGAAATATTTAAGAAGGTTGTGTTTTGGTTAGGATAGACTTATTTATTTTCCTTTTTTTCCTCCATGCCTGTCATTACCATTTGAAAACATGACCATGCATCAATTTATAATGGAAAGAAAGAATTAAACACTTCAAGAGTTTAAAGCTATGAGATGAAACCGTACAGGTGGTTGTGTATTTGGGCAATTCTGAGAGGTTTTGATCCTTTGTTTCTTCTTAATGGTCAGCATTTTGTAAATGCACATTCCTTTGGGCTATTTGTGAATTTACACAATTGACCCTGTCTTCTAAACCTATGGCCAGTTGGAGTTTCAGTTCCCAGTAAAAATAAATCATCTTTGGGGAATCTCAGTGTGATCTGTATTCTTGGAATTTTTCCCACAACATGCGAGTCAGTCTTTTTTCGTTTTTAAAATCCTAGGACTGTTAGAATAGCCTACCTTCTCATATTAAATGTATACAGGGGATCCCTGGGTGGCGCAGCGGTTTGGCGCCTGCCTTTGGCCCAGGGCGCAATCCTGGGGACCCGGGATCGAATCCCACGTCGGGCTCCCGGTGCGTGGAGCCTGCTTCTCCCTCTGCCTGTGTCTCTGCCTCTCTCTCTCTCTCTCTCTCTCTCTCTCACTGTGTGCCTATCATAAAAAAAAAAAAAGATCATTAAATGTATACAGATACTTATTTGTGTTTAACTCTTTTGCAATGATTATGGTTTTTAATGATTGTATAATCACGTGGCTTAATAATTAAAAGTTAAAAGTTAAATAAGTGACTAAAAATATATATATATATATATATATATATATATATATAGTGATAATTCTTCCTGCTGGATCTCCCATCTGTTTAGTTTCTCAGCACCCTCATTCATTCATTCATTATTTGAGACAGAGAGAATGGGCAAGTGGAAGGAGGGGCAGAGGGAGAGGGAGAAGCAGAAAATCCCAAGCAGACTCTGCGCTGAGCACAGAGCCCGATGCCAGGCTGTATCTCATGAGCCTGAGATCATGCCCTGAACTAAAACCAAGAGTTGGACACTTAACTGACTGAGCCACCCAGGGGCCCCAGGGACCACTATTTTAGAATTCTTGTGACTACTTCCAGTTTCTTTAAGCATGTGTATGCAAATGCTAATATGTATTTTTATTTTTCCCTGTTTTTTATACTAAAAGGGGCACATTTAACACATTGTCTCACACCTAGCTTTTCCACTTAGTGATGTATCTTTCCTCATCAGCACATAAATAGCTTCCCATTCCTCTTTGTGGCTGCAGAGAACCCCACATGTGTATTTGTGGACTCACCATCATTTCCTTAATCAGTCCCCTGCTGATGGACAGTTGGGTTCTTTCTGATCAGTTGCTATCAACAATAGCACCATAAGGACAAATCTGATATGTACATTTCATACACGTGCAAAGATAATCCACGGAATGAATTCCCGGAAGTGAAATTGCTGGGTCAGAGTATGAGCCTCTGTAATTCTGATTGCCAAGTTATTCTGAGTGCCAAGTTATTCTGATTGCCAAGTTATTCTCCTTCGGGAAGGGTTTACACTTATACCAGCCGTATTTCTGAGTGCCTGATTCCCTGCATCCTTGGCAAAAGAGTGCTTTGCTTCCAAAGTGATTATTATCATTCTGATAGGTGGAGAAAGGAAGTGCAGTGTGTTTTAATTTGGATTCCTTTTGTGAAGGAGCTTTAGCGTGTTTTCATAGATAAGAGCCTTTCCCCTTGTGTGATGACTGTTTACTGTCTTCTTTCATTTTGATTATTAGGCAGTTGGTCATAGTCCTAGGGATTTCTGGAAATTATGGAAATGTATTAGGGAGATAGTCTCTTGTAACTGCATCCCTCCTGGCTGGAACATGTGCCTGAGGACAAGAGATTCAAAAGGGACCTCCCTATGGGTTGCTGGAGCTAATATGATGCACTTGAGATAAGAGTGATACCTTTTAAGGAAGTGCCTGGGCTCCATCCCACATGTAGCATCAAGGTTTCACATCAAGCTGGTCTGTGTTTGTAACTTTTGTCACTTAGCTTCTTTTTGTCTTGGTTTTCTTACCTGCAATATAAGGCTTATCAGCACCATCATTCTGGGTAACAGGAAGAACCTGGTACTACCGCCCTCCTCACGATGAAGCCACTTACCCTCTACTATAGGTAAAGGTATAGTGGGAGAAGAAAGTATGAACAAGCATGGGGACCCTGGAGACTTCTGGGTATAGCTCCCAGGGTCCTTTCTCCCTTGCATAAGAGATGCTCTGTTTGTGGACTGTGAATCACAAAAATACATGCAAAGAATCTTGGTTTTAGGGTAGTCCAAGCAGAAGTTTCTATTAGTATTGTAAATCCTACTGGTGATGTGGATGCAACCAGCATAAACCATCAATCTCTGTATCTATAACTGTAGACAAGCTGGCCCTGGATCTCTCCCGGGATCTTTGAACTTTAAACAGCACATTATAAATCTCTAGCTCATCTCATCATCCTTATCTTAGCCACAGGTCAGTATGAGAGTTCCAGACATCCCTGGAGATAAACGCAGAGTGATCCCAGTCCAGCTCTAAGATGACTTTACCTTACATAGATAGTCAGGAAGCACACAGAAATTATCGCTTCTTTTCCCTTTCCCTGGAACAAACCTGTTTTTGCCTTCACCAGGACTCTTTTCTTCTATAGCTCAGGGGAGACTGTTACCAGTGTGACCAGCTTGGCCCCACTGGAACCCAAGAAGGGCAAGAGGCAGAAGGAGAAGGCTGATGTCCCTCCTGCAGTCCCTGCCAAAGGTAGGAAGCTAGCCTCCTGTTACCCACGTGGGAACCAGCATGGCTGATCTAGAATGGGTCTGAGGTGTGAAATGGGATTGGGACAAGAGGAGTAGACGACAGATGGAGGACATGACATCCCATGATTATACGACCTGGAGAACCCCACTTAGATTTTGCCCATCACTGGGGCAGGGCGAGGGGTGATGCATTGGCCCAGCCTGGCTTTGTGGACAGATGGGGGTTCAACATGCACAGATTGATTCCACAGTGTATTTCATTTTGAACTATTACCATGGTTACACATGGTGGGGTGGGACAAACGGGTATCAACATAATCTTGGTTCATTCAAGGGAATGAAGCCTCTCTGATATTTCCAAAGATGTAAACCAGGTATAGAGTTTATTTTGGAATTTGTACTGGGGATACAATGAGGGTTAGTCTTTGATTCCAGTTATAATGTAGAGTAACATAGGTGAGAAAGGAGTGTTTGTCTAGAAGAGAACTGCTCATGTCTTAGAATAAGATCATTTACAGATAGTTTCTAAAATAACTGTGGCCAGTTTTGGAGATGTTCATACCTCAAAGAATTTCAAATGTAGTTGGAAGTCCTAGGACTGTCCCCTAAGAGTCTTTGGGTTCCTTTGCTGAAAGCCATTGGTGCTCAGGCTGAATACACGTTGGGTAGAAAGAGGAGTTGGAAGGCCTAGGCATTCTGGGAAGCATGACAAGTGTAGATCTAGGGAAAGAAGGGGGCAGGGAATCCTGCCACAACGTCTCATTCAATCAGAAGTAGATAGTACCCTACCTTACAAAAGGTGAAAGTGAGCCTCAGAGAGCTAAGTGGTAGAACCTGGCATGGAGGTGAGGTCTTCCCAACTTTCAAGGTCAAGTTTTTAAGGTCCAAAATATTGAAATACTTGTTACATGATACTTGAGAGAAAAGCCTCAGTTTTCTCCTCTGATGACCTCTCAGGGGTGCTGTGAGGGGCACGGTCACTGCTTCAACTGTTAGTGTGTAGTTAGGATGAAGCCCCAGGGAAGTTCCCAGCCTCAGGCTTTACCAAACATACCTGGTTCCCACCTGGTTCTCACCTGGTCCTCTGACCTCTTTGTAGTTGGCAGTGTTTGTTTTACACAGAGTTGTTTCATTGACCTCGCTGATGGGAGAGGATGACATGTACAAAGACTAGGGGAGCAAAAGATAAAAGATTTATACTATTTGAAGAAAAACCTGGAGGGTATTATGCTGAGTGAAGTAAGTCAATCAGAGAAGGACAAACATTACATGGTCTCAATTCATTTGGGGAATATAAAAAATAGTGAAAGGGAATGAAGAGGAAAGGAGAGAAAATGAGTGGGAAATATCAGTGAGGGTGACAGAACATGAGAGACTCCTAACTCTGGGAAACGAACAAGGGATGGTGGAAAGGGAGGTGGGCGGGGGGTTGGGGTGACTGGGTGACAGGCACTGAGCGGGAACTTGACAGGATGAGCACTGGGTGTTATGCTATATGTTGGCAAATCAAACTCCAATAAAAAATATACAAAAACAAACAAACAAACAAAAGGACCAGGGGAGGATTGCTCTCCATCAGGGGACACCCAGTGATAACTAAATCAGAAACCGGACTTCTTACATGGGGGCAGGAAGGGATCTGTGGGTCTCCACAGAGTGTCTATGATACTCATGATATGTGGGCATTAAGAGCCCTGGGAAGAATTGCAAGCTAAACCCTTGACATCCTTCCACAGCTCCTGTGGCTGCCACATTCCATAAACCGAAGCTGCTGAAACCACAAAGAAAAGTCACCCTGGTGAGTAATCATATTTTGTGTTGTTGGTGTTCCTTCAAGCCTTAAACACACTTGAGGTCCAAGTAGTACCTTCATTGATTCAAAACATGCTGAAAGTTCTTTGTGCTTAGTCCCCAAGGAGAGACATTCTCTCTTGTTGGGTCAGCTTTTAAGCCATCTTTTCTTCACATCTGGTTCCTAGAGTGGCTTTTAAAAATTCAAGTAGAACAATGTTCCATTAAAAATACTATTTTTCAGGGATCCCTGGGAGGCTCAGCAGTTTAGCACCTGCCTTTGGTCCAGGGAGTGATCTTGGAGTCCTGGGATCAAGTCCCACGTCGGGCTCCCTGCACGGAGCCTGCTTCTCCCTCTGCCTGTGTCTCTGCCTCTCTCTCTCTGTGTCTCTCATGAATAAATAAATAAAATCTTTTAAAAAATTACGATTTTCAAAAACAAGGAAGAAAAAGCCACACTCTGGAAGGTATAAATAGAATATGGACCTGCTTATATAAATTTACCTGATAACTACTCTGAAGAGACTGCTGAAGAACCTTACAGAAAATATATCATAGCTATTTATTTTGAAATAACTTTAGATTTACAAAAGAGCTGTAAAGATACGGAGAGTTCCTATCTGCCCTTTGCCCAGCTTCTCCTAGGGTTAGTACCTCACATAGCCATGGTATCTTTGTCAAAAGTAGGATTACCATAAGCACATTGCCATTAACCACACTCCAGACTTTGACCAGATTTCAGCAGTTTTTCCACCCATGTTCTTTTCGTGTTCCAGGATTCAGTCCAAGCTATCATATTGCATTTAATTGTCAATGTGTCCTTAGTCTCCTCCAGTCTGTGACATTTCCTAGTCTTTCTTTTTCTTTCATGGCTTTGACACTTCTGAAGAGTAGTAGTCAGTTATTTTTTACTACGTTCTTTAACTTGGCTTTCTCTGAGGTTTTCTGATGAGTAGAGATAAGGTTCTGGATTTTGGAGAAGAACACAGAGGTGATATTTCCTTCTCATTGCATTTTTTCAGGGATTCATGATGGCAATATGTCTTATTGATGGTGACATTAATTGCAATAGCTTGGTTAGGGTGGTGTTTGCCAGGCTTCCTTCATACAGAGTTAACTATTTTTCCCTTTCCATACCTGTTTGTTAGGTGTTTTGTTTTGTTTTTGTTTTTGTTTTGTTTTTTGCCTGTTTTTCTTTGATCCGTTGGGAATTTGGGAATGTATCCAGTTTTACCTCAGATTCTATTTTATTTTACTTTGTTTCATATTTCAATAGTTATTACTTGCTGATTTCATTAAACTTCATCCCTACATTCTAAACAGTTATTTTATTTGAACTAAACATTTACTAGTTTTATTATTATTCTTTCTTGAATCCAAAGTCTTCCCCCCAAATATCTTTATTTGCCTTTACATTTGAGTAATTTGTCTGGGGATAGAATTCTAGTTTTATAAACTTTTTTCATCTGTTCTGGGAAATATGCTGAGCACTTTCTGTGCATTTCTATTTACTTCCCGTGTTGCTCAATGTAAATGCCATATTCGTTACTGTGGCCCATAACACCCCATATCATGCAAGCCACATATGTCATTTAAATTTTTTAGCAGTCACATTAAAGAAGTAAAAGAAATAGGTGAAACCAATTTTAATAATATGGTTTATTTAACCCAGGATAGCAGAAAGATTATCACTTGAACATATAATCTATGCAAAAATTATTAATGAAATATTTTACGTGCTTTCTGTTCTCCAAAACCTTCAAAATTCAGTGTGTATTTTATGCCTATTGCACATCTCATTTCAGAGCCACATTTTAAGTGCTTAAAAACCACATTTGACTAGTAGCTGTCATGAAAGCTCAGCCATATGTGATCTAGCCCCTGTTACCTCTTTGACATCATTTTTCCTGCTGTCTCCCTTCTTTGTTCCCCTCTGGCCACACTGGCCTCATTGCTAGTCCTTAAACATACCAAGCATGTTCTTGAAGGGCCTTTGCACCAGTTGTTCAATCTGGAACATTCTTTCCAGGTTATGCTTGTGGCTTGTCACTCACCCCCTACGGTTTCTATTTACATGTCATCTTGATGGAGAAACCTTCCTGAAATCCTATATAAACACTTTTCACCCTCTGATGGCACTCCTCATGACAGACACCCTGATGTACTTTATATTTATCTGTTGATTGCCTCTCCCTTCTACCAAAATGCATGGCCCATCAAGGCAGGGAGGCTGTCTGCTCTGGTCGCTGCAATGTCCTCCATACACAAAGCATTATCCAGCATTATGGAGATTTGTTAATGAACCTGAACACCAGCCCTGTTGGAGTAGGTTCTCTCATTCTACTTTTACAGTTGAGCATATTGAGCTGCAAAGTCAGGGAGGTGCAAGATGGAACCCAAGGTCATGCATACTTGAATCTGATCCTTCTGAATCTAAAACATAAGGTTTTAACCAGCTCATTTGGATTATTGCCTCAGAGTGGAGCCTTGGTCTGGTGGCTCTCTGGCCATGGTTCAGACATACTGTCCTGGCTCAGCCCCGCCCCTGCCCATGCCGTTTTGTATCCATGTCTCCTGCTATTCTTCTGGGGAGGCTGATTCACCTCTTTTCCAAAGAGAGCCTTCTTCTGCCTGCAGTGAATTGTGGGTTCCAGTGGGCTTTCCATTCAGTGTGATCCTATCTGGTTCATATCATCAGAAATTCCTCACCAGTCTGGTCTATTGACTACCCCTGTCTTGTCCTCAAATGCAGCTGTACAGTCTTTGCTGATTTTAATAGATCTCTAGTCTGTTGGTGGGCTTTTGGAAACTCAGCAGGACACAAAGGCTAAACCAACTTTCCTCACTTCCTCAACTGTGCATATCACTGTGCATCTTTGTGAGTATATGTGTACCTTTTTCAGATCTTTTCTCCTTGTTCTGATATTTATGAACTACCTCGAGAAAGGATTTTTCTTATAATTTTTCCCACCTTACTTTCTCCCTGAGTTGGTCAGGAGTTGTTGCTTCTAATCCAAAATCTTACCCCAGTTAATAACAGGAACAGCTATGTACTGACACTCCATGGATATATCCCAGAGAGCAGAGCACCAAAAAACGTGTTTTTTGCATGTTGTTATAGTTAATTCTCACAATGAGCTCCCCCTACCAATCTCCAGTTTTGAATGTGAGGACATATACTCTGTTTAAGAAAAGTTGAGTTCCTCCAACTCACAGGTGCAGCAATCCACTTCCCATGAAGATCATGCTGCTGACCCAGTGGACTGCCCCTTTGTAGTGTCATCAGTCGTAAATGGATGACTTTCTCTAATCCATGGCTGCGGGGGGCGGGGGGGCACCTCTCATTTATCCATTAAACAAAAATCAGTTGTATGCTTTTTGGGTACAGAAGGCTTCATTAAGCACTTTGGGGCCACCTGTAAAAGGATCAGAGTCAGCAGCATTTTCAAAAATAACACTGGTCTTAATCACAAGTTTTATTTGCAGAGTTTGGTTTGTGTGTTCATTCAAGCTAGTGTGCTCCTCTCGATGGCAATTCAACATAGGATATTCTTCATCTTCACAGGAAGTAGGTTGGGGCAGTTAGAGGCATTTCAGAAGGGGTCTTTGTTTTATGGAAGTATCTCCAAGATACTTCTTAAGTACTTCTTAAGTACCAAAGTATCTGTTGATCATCTATGAGATGAAAAGACTTAAAATTTTCTATACCCAAACGAGACCATTTGGAAACCAGTTTATACCCATAACAATAGACAATCAAGGAAAGAGCTAACTTTGAATGGGACTCTCTGGCCAGTGACTTAAAGTCAAAAATACTGGGCCTAGTATGTGCAGGTTTGTGTTAATATTAAGATTTATTTTCCAAAAAGAGCAGCATTGACCTCAGTTTCGTTTGGGTCGATATTTAGCTCTCAGATCAATAGGTCTTGATGGTAGCTGGAACTAAAGTCAATAAATACTTGTTGACTCACTTAGGCCTTAGTGGGTATTTTAGAAAAAGCTTGAAGACATCTTCACTTTGGTGCCTGGTACCAGTTGAGTGGTTTATCTCTGTTGCTATTCCATTTTGTGCCCATTTGCATAAAATGGTGCTTCCTGGAGTGGCCATGGGCCCCAGAGACCCCCAGCCTTCTTTCCAGAGTGACGTTAGCACATTCTCACCCCAAGAAGCCAAATTGCCTGCCACCTCCAGTGACTCATTGCCAAGAGGGAAAATATTTATTTATTGAGTACCTACATGTGCCAGCTCCTCTGCTTGCAGGCTCCATCTCACTCATCTCAAGTGCACGTGTGAGCTCCTGGTGGGCCTTCTGGACTCTGGCAGGCAAAAATGACACATGCACACATGCATTTCCTTGTATTTTCACCCTTAAAGCATGAAAGTGGGAATATTTTTGTGGGTTTCCAAGACAACATGGCATTTTGCGGGAAGTATGTACGCCAGAGACTAATAGTATTTGGAAAGTTTATTTATTTATTTATTTTTTAATTTTTTAAAAAATTTTTTATTTATTTATGATAGTCACAGAGAGAGAGAGAGAGAGAGAGAGAGGCAGAGACACAGGCAGAGGGAGAAGCAGGCTCCATACACTGGGAGCCCGACATGGGATTCGATCCCGGGTCTCCAGGATCGCGCCCTGGGCCAAAGGCAGGCGCTAAACCGCTGCGCCACCCAGGGTTCTCTGGAAAGTTTAAAAGATAGGATTGAAGAAGGAAAAAAGAGATGAGAAAGGCATCTTATTTCTTCTTTTTTTAAATTAATTAATTTATTTATTTGAGAGAGAGAGAGAGAGAGAGGGAACACAAGCTGGGAGGAAAGGCAGAGGGAGAGGGAGAAGCAGACTCCTGCTGAGCAGGAGCTGATGTGGGATTCGATCCAGGATCCTGAGATCATGACCTATTCCAGAGGCAGATGCTTAACCAACTGAGCCACCCAGGCACCCTGAGAAAGGCATTTTAGACCTTTTATAATCAAGATACCAAAATGGAGCCCCCGTCTTTTTCAAC